ATTAACAAATAATAGTTGAATAAATGCTTAATAATGAAACCACAGGTGAGGGCTGATAGCTGTTTGAGTGCTATATTCCGTCGTTTTTCCATAAAATATTAAATATATATTTCTTTCACTTATTTTTATTTATTTTTAATTCATTGCATGAAAAAGCATTAAAATATCTCTTTTGCATGTTTTTATAAATTACTATAAATCCGTTTTTTCTTTATTTATTTCAATTTAATTAACTATTTTTACATCTCTTTTATAGGATTTAAAAGTACACCAAAAGTCAAAATCACTGATAAAGTCATGGATTCGCTGTAAGAATTTGTAGAAACAATTTTTTATACATTTTCTTATAATTTCTATACTTTATTACAGGTTTACATGTTGTCTATTGAGTCACAATTAACAGGTAATAACAGGTAAACAAGTGGTATGAATGCGGGTATAAAAGTGTAGTTCGGGCTTAAAATGACCTCTAGGTTGAAGGGTATGAGCACTCGACAGACTATTGTTGATTTGAGTTATATTTTGAGATTATCGATGGTTTGTAGTAAATAATTGTTTGGTTGAGGTGTCAACTCATTTACGTGAATGAAAGGTACGATTGAGTTATTGCTGTCAGCTTTCAGTCAGTGATAGACGGATAGCAAAATGGCATTTCATTCTTGGCTTAAATATGGAGGCAGTGATGAGGTAGTGATGAAAGCTATTGATGAATGCATTTCTACGGTTGTATACATTTGACTGAATCACTAAATTAAGGCAACTATGGCTTAAGGCACTGAATTAAGTGAACCCCATATATAGGAGCGATTTGACACTCCTTCCCACACATTTGATACATTGCTGGTAAGGCTTATGAAAATAGTGTACATATTATAGACCACTCGTGTTTGTAAAAGTAATTTTGAAATAAACATTTGTTTAAAAGTACGTGTATTTCTTGGCTATGAATTTGCATTTAGATTGCAAATCAATGTAATTAATATTCTGTTGTGAATAATGCAATCTGTGTTTGAATCTGTCATTTAAATGAAATGGTTGTTTGCATTCAAATGTCATTTTGTAAAACATATGCATTTATTGGTTAATCGATAAAAATAGGTTTAAATACAATCCATAATTAGATTAAAGAAAATTTTATTAAAATCAAAACTTGATTACAAAAACAATACAATGGCGTGAAGAGTGTTATTAGCCAAACATGCCTTCATTGGATCGGATGTCATCGATCTTAAGGATCATTTTGACCAATTGTGTGGCCAGACTTATCTGCTGCTTCTTACTCGTCAACGTCTCGATCACGTGCTGTACTTTCATGTCTGCAAATATTCACAAGCATTTCATTAAAAGTTCAAATTATTTCATCAATTCATTCAACAAACCAGAGGTTCCTTTGTTGAGACAATCGATTCCAAGCCATGGGTTCTTTTCCTTGATTTGTCTCGACTTGATTTCGGTGACGGTTTCGATGGACGCGAGTCCGCTATTCTCTGCCAAAGCCATGGGAATGGACTCGAGAGCGTCGGCGAACGCGCGGTAGGCGTACTGTTCTAACGTCGAGATCTTATCGGCTTCTTCTGCCACCACAA